GTACCATTATGACTCTTGAAATCGAACTCTTAAAGAATGGAGACTCTCCATCCTTCAAACTTGGCTCTACGGGAGAGCTGATTTTCAGCGCAGACTCTGTCCTCGAACTCTGCTCGGTAGAGTCAGATTGCTCAAATGCTATTTTGAGAGGCTCCTAGAGTTTGAGATTCTGCCTCTGCGTGATTCACGCAGCGTGAATTATCGTACGCGAAATCCTGTGCGGTTCCTGCGCGCGGTCGAATGGGGCATTCTGATCTCAACTTCGGTATGTGCATGTTATGTCAACCATCTTTGCTTGATTGAGCTCAGCTTAACGCAAGGGATCTTTTGACGAGTCGAACGGTTCGGAAAGACGACAAATCACATACCTGAGCTCGAATTATATGCATAGTAGTTCATGATCTTCACGTGATGGACCGCACGATCTGAGTTAGCGAGACTTTGGTCTGCAATAGCCCCACTTAGTACGTGGTGTTGAACTTTGCAGTCCTCAAGACCGAAACAGCACTCATTAGAGAGTATGAATCGCTCCCGTACAGCATTTTGTACGAGCAGATTCTGAGCGTAATAATTCTATGTTGAGGTGTAGGGGGAGTGTCTCTTCTTGCACGCCTGCACACCGACTAACCACAGAGTTGGTTTACATTTCAGTCCCATTTATTTGTTGTCAATATGAATAGCCTGCTGGACCTCATCTTCGCTTTCAAAGTAATGATCGGTAGCATTCAAGCTACTGATAGCCTCGTCGATTATGTTAACGTTCTAGCTGGTACTTCTAATACTTATGAGTTGTCTACTGGTGGCGCCACGCCCCTCATGGGCCGACCATTCGGCTTCAATCATTGGTCTGTTCAAACTGAACCCGACCATGCCACTGTGCGCTACTTCAACCCGGCCTCGAGAAGCTTCTATGGTGTTCGATGCACTCACCAACCGTCCATATGGATAGGCGACTATGGTTATTTTCTCGTTAATGCTATCATTTCCCGTGACGAACCACAGCAATCTGTGTCGTTCGCTCCGCTGCAGACTACTTACAAGCCACACTACTTCAAGTCATCGGCTCTGTATCCTGGTAACGCTGATATGGGTGGCGCTAGGATTGAAATGACCCCGACGGAACATGCTGCATTTTTTCGGTTTTCTTTTCCACCCAAGGTCAACTCAACGGTGCTTGTGAGACTATTTGACTATAGCTCATCGACACCAGTCGTGCTCGACAAGGAGGGTCGTTTTTCTACTCAAACCAGTGTTAACAACGGTGGTGTATTGCCTGGGTTCGCCATGTTTATCAATGGGGCAATTGACCCACCACCTGCACGCATGCGCAACGTAGATGGTTCAATCATGCTGGAGTATGATGCTGCGGAAAATAATAAAAGACTTTCGGTACAC